AAATGATAGTACCGACTCGAATTTTTTCTCGAGTCGGGTCGAATGACCCGGGTCGATTCGACCGGCTCGGAGCACTAATATCGACAGATCCAGATGCTGCGGTAAATATTATCTTATTTGCTGATAATTAAATATAAACTAAAAAAATTTTTATTTTATTCTAATTAAAAATACTTTTTTTTCATTATTGAATTCCTTCTTTTTTTTTTTTTTTTTTTTTTTGAGTATCATGAATTAACTAATAGTTACGACAATTTGATTAAAATTTTCCTCAATCGTAGACTGTTTTTAACAAAAAAAATAAGTTTCAAATTTAGATAAAAGCTAAGAAAAAATTTTATTTCTTGCAACCGTACTTTTTGCATACATTTAAATGGTATATTTTTTATTTTTAATTTTAAATTTTTATATTCTGAGGAAATAAAGTCACCTACAGTTAACTATAAGTGAACTTAAATATTAAATTTTAGAAAGTAAAAAACGTTGAATATATAGTTATTATATCAGCCTATCGGCTGATATTGCTGTCCCTGCCCAATAATTCTTTTATTGAGTGTTCGATGATTGGATGAGAAAGGCATTACACGTCATGCGTTGAGGTCTCTAATTAATAGATGCACAATAAATAGATTATTCTAATTCTTCTAAGGTACTCGAAAATTAATAATGTGTTCTTTGTACCAGCAGTGAAAAGGTTTATTACAGAGAGTAAATATATATAATTAGTTTCGATTTTTGGTTAAAGTTAATGTCAAGATAAACAAGATTTCGAATTTCGATACTATTTTGATTTAGCGCTGAAAGACATAATATGTCATGTTTATATTAAATTTGATTAAGCAAAACATTAATGAAAAATGAAAAAAAAATTTATACGACTTAGAAGATAGAGAGATTAAAGAATACTTTTTTAAAAAAGGGTGAAATAAACTCAAGTTCTTAATCCAATAAACTAAATATTTATGATAACTTTCTAATTGCTTGTTATCAGCCATTCACTTATGATTTAAAGGATGTGAGTAGTATAATTAAAGGATGAAGCCACCCATTGTTTTATTGTACATGAATAAAACAAATTTTTATATATTAATCAAATGGACATCTTTTATACGATGATATTAGTTAGACCTGCAAGCTTATAATATTTGGAAAGTAATTGCAAATAATTAAAAAATATCAAACTGTATTCATAAAGCACGAGTGCTAATTGTTAAACGTAATATTCAATAAATCAATATCTGATTTATTAATGCGGGTGAATTACGTATTTGAAAATCTTGGCAATAGAAATAATAAAAGAAATCAGGTCATTACGCATTTCTATTCAGGGCCTCTAAATTGTAGTAACGTTTCAAAAAGAAAGTTTCGTCATATTCGGCTCAGTATTGTTTGTACTTAAAATAAATATATTGTCGGAACTTTGGCGAAATTCGGTTATCGTGAACTACTTTTTGAAAATATTTTAAATGAATTATATATATAGATTTGAAGAAAATAATCATAGTTCTATATAATTGAAGCTATTTTTCGCGTAAGCAAACTTTGTAATATATTTAATGGAATTTTTGGTTTGTATTGTGCATATCTTAGAAAGATAAGCGAAAATTTAAGCTATAATCGGTAGCTCACAGTCAATATTGATGTTTTACTACTTCGTCGAAATTAGTCATCCAAAAAAAATTAATTTGTTCAAGAAAAAAAATTTAAGATTAAAAATTCAAAAAAAATAAAAAAATAAAAATATATCGACATTTAAAATCTTTCCTGCCGATCAATGAAAAGAAATTTAAAGGTTGAGCAAGATAATATAGTTAATATTCCTACACCATACGAAAATAATGGAGATTTTGTAAACGGAATTTGCCATCGTGTAGGAGCAACTGTCGTCGCCTAAATTTTCTGCATATTTTCATTGAAATATATATATTGACCACCTTGCCAAATGTAGATTGAAAGAAATAAGAGTAGTAAATAAATAAATGTTCATAATTAGTTAAAGAAATATTTATCTTAGTAAGAGAGCTATAAAGGAGTTTTTATATCGAAATGATCATTATTTCAAATCATCAGGAATAAAAAACCTTATCTTAAATGATATACTAAATAAATTGCATATGATGATTTTCAATTTACCATATGTGATTGTCAGTAACGGGGGGTGATGCATTCTCGATCACCTGAATGAATCTTTTTATAATTTTAATAATACGTATGAATTGATAATGCTTTCTACAATAAATTGTTTTAAGCAGAATCAGCATCGAAAATTTTCAATAAATAAGTACACAGCTAAAATACTTACTCCATCCACTACAATTAAAAAATAAATTTTTATTCTTCATGAAATCTTCCATATCTTTTGCGATCATCTTTGGCCTACTAGCTTTAATGCCACTCACTCAAGGTAAACTTTGAATCATCACGACAAAAATATTTATTAATCATCTGCTTTAATAACTTATATGTATCGGTTGGATGGATATAATAAATATGTAGGCTACACCGTATGGATACATAACTGGGCATCATCTGGTACAATTACTGATGCTGCAGCCACTGAAAATAATGAAAAAGGACACTGGAGTTGGACCCATCCCGCTATCGATAATCGAGGTGAATCTGCTCGCAAGGGTTATCATTTGGTTATCCCTCAGAATATAACAACATATTGGCTTGTTTTCGGAGTTGCTTCATCTCTTGAAGATGATAAATGGCGCGGCCCATACAACAATGATGGCGATAAATGTTGGCGCTTTCATGGTAGTGAAGATGATTGGAACATAAATGAATGTTAAAATGATTACATTACCTTTTTTTTTCATAATCTCTTTTTTTTAATCATTTCTTATAATTAAGATTTTAAATCATTTTATTTATTTATTTAAAAGTTTTTTTATGTAATTTTTATGTCCATTTAATTTACTTCATTTATATAGTCATATCTGAAAATTATTTAGGTTCTAAATGATAAGTATTCCTTTCTTAAATAAGTGTATTTTACCTGCCGTATTGTATTTAATTTGAGATTTAATAAAATAAACTAGAAATTAGGAGACTCAACTTATTGACCTTTGCAGTGCGAGTATGTAGCATGACACAATCAATGATTTGGAAGTACTCAGATCAGAGATTTTTGAGATAGTAAAGCTTTTCGTATTCTATACGAACTTTACCATCCGCAATTTTCCAAGCTTCGGCAATTTCTCTGTTGATTTGACATTAAATTTTAATTTTGTAGATCAAAAAACGCTTAGAATTGTAATTTAACTATATTTTTATATAAAAATAAAACAATTTATATATATTTCAAGTAATTATTTATTTTTGTTGTTTTATAAATAAAAGATTCTTTTAAACTGCACTGCGTAAATCAATAAGTTGGGTGGGACTACTATTCACTATTTATAGCTGTTTCATTGTAAAAACATATATATAGAAATAAACAACCCAATACTTTTATCTTGTCTTTTTTTTCTGATCTAACAATAATTATTTTAGAATCATATTTTTAGAGATACAAAAAAAAATTAGATATTACTGTAATCATAATAATACTATAAATAACGTCAATTATTACTGTAATTTAAATTCAACTAAGTTTTTATTTAAAAAAAAAAATTAATAATCAATAATAATACTATTTGAATGAATTCTTACGAAGAAACTCGATATCCATAATCTTGCGATCACAGTGATACGTTTATACTTATCTAAAATTAGACTAACAGATCTTTTTCATCTTTTTTAACGTCAATGGATATAAAAAATTTGTTTTTGAGAAATTGAAGTATCAATTTCAAACACTTCATTGCGATTAGGAAATTCTTGTTTAATTTCGTAAGAAAAACTTTTTGATCGGCTTCATATAGAAAGTTCTTAGTCCCCTCAGGAGTCAATTGAACTTGTCCCATAATGTCATTTGAACTAATTTTAATTCGTGGTTCTATTTTGAAAGTGATTATAATGAATAAAAAGTAATAAAAATTAAATTGAAGTAATTAAAAACTTACGTGATGTTGTAAAAGACCATATATGGCGCTTTACACCATATAGAGGTTCTCGGTTCTCGACAAATTAAATTATCATCAATTGAAATATTGAATCTTTTACCAGGCATATTAATGACAACTTTAATTTAGATAGTATCATCCCATAAGATACATATTTGCTGTCGATTCCTGAAATTGTTTGACATACATCGTATAAGTAGCTTTAAAGTTTGACCCGATAATATTTTTAAGTTCCCGTACCTCACCATTATCATTAAATACATAATCATAAAATACAGTCTGATTATTAACCCTTCCTATTTCATTTAGAAAATCTCCTCCATATGGTAATCATTGAATAAAGTAATATTCAATTGATGGATATGTTTGAATTTGCAATTGTTTAAAATTCTATGCGATTCCACATGAAAGAAATTCAAACTTAAAATAACTTGTTATTTGATAAAGTACATTCGGTTTCTTGGTCATTTTCTAAGAATAAGATGTAGACTCTTTCCTATGGTATCCATAGAATTAGTGTAAACAATCGCAAATCTACCGTTGACCATTGGAATGACAGTACTTACAAAGCTAAAAGAATTTTCAATATCTTGTTTAAGAAATAATATTAAATTTATTACCGTAAACGGCTGACTAAGATACCCCGAGTCCGATACAAATTTTCGAATTTTGGGGTACGATACTATAGTACTTTGATCGAACCGTTTACTGAATATAAACTATCTTTATATAATATTAAAAATTAATTGCAATTTATATATTACAATATAATCAGTTTTTTATTATAAAAGCTTCTTTTATAAGATAATCCAAAATAATATATAAAGGTTGTTAAAATTAAATATAACTGCATTAGAAAAAATAATTTGACAGATTAACATTAACATAATTTTTCCTAGATTCAAATTGCTAAAAGTAGCTTTTTAACGTCACCTGAAACTTGCGGTGAAATTTACTCAAATATCACGTCCTAGTAAAGTTGTAAAAAATTAAAATACTACAAAATATAGTTGCTTGGCAAAACTCATTTTTAGCAATGCCAAGGCCTATTCGACGAGTTTACTATAGTTTTGACTTTTTAGACGGTGACCCCATCTAAATCCATGAATTTGTCAGATAAGATGAGATTTATAGCATAGTTAAATGTATATATTTGATGAGACATTTATCCGTATTAATAAATTTATTACAATAAAAGTAAATTTGCGTGATGATCTTTGTTCCTTGTTTCTTTGTTTCAATTATTATTAAATAAAATTAGTCAGCAATGTGATTATTAATTGTTTTAAAAATAAATATTCAAAATTCTTAAATAAGACAAAGAATAATGGAGGACATGTCCATGTCGTGTAGCGCATCCAGGGAATAATTATCAACAATACAAAAAGGATTGCAATTCTTCAAATAATATCAAATTGTTTACATAAAATTCAAGAATTAATCAAACTTTTTTAGAAAATAATAATCAGACTATATTCAGGTTCTCCGACCAAAATTCAGATAATCTCCCAGTTTTAAAACCTATTTTAAATTATCACGGAACACAAATTTCTTAATAGGATAGGGAAATAATCTTGTAACAAATTTCTGTCCGAACCCTCTTTTCATATGAATACCTATTTTTGGCATTATTTTTGTGAATCAATATTATTAAATTAAATAATTAAATTATTTGTGGCAAGTTGGCAAAGGATTTCTTTGTTACAAAAATATAAGCCAAATGTTACATTTAATAAACTAGTTTATTTTTATGACAAATAATAAAAATTCCATTATAAAAGAACCTCTGAAATCTTCAAAGAAATAATATTCGCAGATTTCTGTAACTCTGAAAACCCTATCAAATTCACACGTTGTTATTAATGAACACATAACAACAATAATAGCCCTTCCTAAGTAAAAATGTAGAAAGTAAAATGTACATTTGACGCTTGCATATTGGTTACATGTTCTAACTGCGAATAACGGGGCAAAAGGGTTTTCGACCATCTATTGTACAAAAGTATCGCTGGACAAGTAACATATCCGGCCAATTGCTTGACAAAAATATCTATACAACAACGACTGGACAAGGAATAATGAATACACAGCTGGCAAGACAACAAGAAGATTATCTGGCAAGTGGATTCCGGCGAGAAGAAACTGTTTGAAAAGAGAAGAATCCGACCAACCCGTTGGACAACAAATTTTAATTTTAATTGTATCCACGGGTCTTCCTAAAAAAAATTAATTTCCCAACAGCTTCATCTTGTCATTTAAAATCCACCTCTAGAGCAACAATTTTTTTTTTTTTTTCTGTTTTTGAATAATTAAAAGATTATTAATTTTTCTTTTATTATTTTTTTTTTTTAAAGAAATTTAATAAAAAAATTATGAAACTTTTAAAAAATCATGTCTTTCGTATGACTATTAAATTTTTTTTTTATTGTTTATAATAATTCCTTCTAACTATATTTTTTTTATTGGAACCGGATATACTTTATTACAAGTCGTCTTATTACCCAACTATAAAAAAATTTTTTTTGTTAAGAAATTTTCTTAATTCAAATCACTTGAGAGAAACACATTAATAAATTGTATTTAAACAATTTTAAAAGGTTAAACCTCCAGGTGGACGGACCTATAGAGATAAAAATATGATAACTAACATTAATTAAACGGGATATTCCAACTTCCAAAAAAAAAAGTTTATCGTATAACTTTCCTGATAATTTGAAAATGAACAAACGAAAGTGTTCGGTGCGTTCGATCCTTTATTGTATATACTATGTATTTTATTTTATAATGACCAAATAAACTAAGAAATCTTAGACACGTTATTTGTATATTTAGAAACTTACAATTTTTTTTTTGATTTTACTTAATTAATTTTATTATAAAAATATTATTTATTTGATATCAATTTTAATATATTTAAAATTAGCCTTAATTAGTAATTAAAATTTGAAAGAAAAACCATTGAAGGGATAGTTCATGCATAAATATAATGATTTGCTTGTCTGAAATCCAGATAAATTTAACAAACATCTGTTATTAAACATTCAATAGCGTAGCAAAGCCAATCAAACAATGATTTTATCGAATCTCTTATAAAAACCAGAAATTTATTTGTAAAGAAATTCAATAACTATTAAAAATGTATTAATTAAACCTTCTAAAAGGCTAATGGATTTTAGCAAGTTGAATTAAATCCTAAAGATATGAAAAAAAAATAACCTTCATAACTAAATTCAGTATTTACAAGTTCAGTATAATGATGTTTGAACTATACATTGCTCCTGCCTAAGGTTGCTTATTTAAACTCATTTTAGATTTGGCTAAACGTCTAAACCTTTAATTTCGCTAAATTTTTACTAAGTGTTTATTTAATATAGTTTCGCCATTTTTATAAGCTTTGATATAGTTTACCTTTTTCTGAATTTCGCAGATTTTTTAATAAGATTTTAATATAATTTAACTAAGTTTTACTTTTATCATTTAGACGTCTGTCAAACTCTGGATTTCGTCCAGTAACCTTACTCCTGCCACATTTTAACATTTAATGGATACTATCCTAAAAGATATATTATGGTAATTTGTTATTGTTGATAATATTAATGTTGGATCAAGAACTTCAAAAACATCTTATACATTTAAAACAAATATTCATGCATTTAAAAAATGCTATATTAAAGTTAAATCCAGAAAAAATGTTTTTTCTTTAAATGAAAATTTACCTTTTCTTAGACATGAAAAAGAAATTTGAACTAATCTTAAGAAATTAAGAGTAAAAGAATATTCTTTACCAAAAGACCTAACTCAAATTCAAAGGTTTTATTACATCTACTTCTTATTATTTAAAGTTTGTTAAAGGATTTTTAATAATAGTTGAACTATTACTTTAATTTTTAAAGAAAATATCTATTATAAATGAACAAAAAATTAACAAGAGATCTTTAAAAACTCAAATTATATTTAATAACCTTATTAATTCTAGTATATTCAAATTATATAAAACCTTTTATATTATATACAGATGCTTTCTTTTTCACTTTAGATGTGATTTAATATAAAAAAAAAATAATTATACAGAATATGCTATTAGTAAAACTCTTAATAAATATAAAAGAAATTATACTATTATTAAATTGAAATGTCTTATTATAGTATAGATCATAAATTATTTTCATCATTACATAGTTAAAAATTTATTGTTTTAATAAATCATTCCACTTTGGTATACTTAAAAAATTAATATAAATCTTATTGGTAAATTTGAAAAAAAATCCATTTTATTCAAATTTCAAATAGCTGATTATTAGCTAAAAATTAATCTAATTATAACCAATCATTACCAAAATATCATCAATAATTTATAATTAAATATTTATATCACTATCTATTATTCTATATCATCACAATTGTGATTATCACAATTGGTGTTCAATTTGTATATATTGTAAAATTTTTAGTGATAAAATAAAAAGAATCAATTAAAAATAAAAACAAATTAAATGTTATCCAACTATTGATTAGGCAAACTGAAACATATAATCAATTAAGTAATAGTAAGATTTCACTCAATCTTTATAATAAATTAGAAGAGAATTTAATTATCTTTAACTTTAATTAACATTAGTATTCTTTTCACTAGTTAAAATAATTTTTTTTTTTTTTTAAAGATGTGATATTGTCAGTATTTTATTAATAAATTATATGATAATAACTAGATTAAAAAATTAAAAAAGTAAATACAAAAAATAAAGGCTAACTATCCCTTGTAGTTTTATTTCAAATCCATTTGGATCGACCATTCACCAAAATTCTCCTCAGTACACTCCTAAAGAAAACTCTCGAGAAGAATACAAATGATGAAAATCTAAATAAACATGTCAGCACTGTCCTAAGAAGTCAAACTAGGAATAACCAAAATTGAGAGTCAAATATAACCAAGTTTTCCAATTATCATCCAAAGACTTCCTCAGTTTAGAAGAAAGTCAGCCATTAACTTTATACTTTACTTTCTTTTTCTTCAATTTAACTCTAATATTAAGAGATTGTTCTTTACTAACTATGGCTTTGCAACGAGAAATCCAAATCAATTCGTAGATTGAGTCATTTAATTTACCCAAAATTGTAACTAATACTTGATCCACAATTGATTGAGAAAAAGGGATCTAAGGTTATTAACTAAAGATCTGGGAATAAAACCTTTCACTAATTGGATAAACTTAGTGGAATTTGAGGTAAAATTAAATGATTCCAAAATTGTTGTTTGATCGAGAGGTAGGAGTGTAATCCATTAATATCAATTTTAGAAAGAAGTAGGTCATTAGCAAAATCTATGAGTTCTGCAGATATGTTGATCAATTTAACCTTATTAGAGGAGCAAGTCCATAAGTGATCAGCAGTTTCAGGAGTAGTGTTATAAAGAGCACAATTCCAATTTTGATAATGTGGGTAATTCTTCAGCAAAGAATTTAATTTTGAAAGCCTTTTTACTTCATTACAAGAAAGAAGTAGAGAATTTATTTCTATCATCATTATCAGCTAAATAAAGTATAGTAAAAGGCCAAGATATTTTATTATTTAAGGTCTATTGTTTGATCGAACAATTCTTATTTAGTTCAAAGTATTCAGAAAATTGTGAAGCAGCACAAAGATCCTTCCAAAATTTTCTAGAAGAGGATTTTATAGAAACTTCCTTAAAAGATAGCATGAGTTTAATATCCTCTGTTGAAGTAATATTTAATGTAAGAGGAGTAAGTTGGCATCCTTGTTTTGCTAGTAAATCTACTTTATCATTATAGAAATCATCAAAGTGCCTTTAACTTTAATAAACGAAACTTGTAATTCAAGGGAGATAACAATATATTTGATCAAAATCCAAATAGTAAAAGTTGGAGTTTCTTAACAGAACAAGTCGTATGAATATTATTAAACAAACTGTAGAATCCTTGAATGACTACTAGGCTGTCTAAGAAAATTATTGGTAATGAGAAAGGAATACAAACAATTAAAGCAGTCAGTAATGCAAATAATTCACCTCTTGTTAAGGATGAATGATGTTGTATGGCAGCAGAAAAAGAACATTGATCATGATTGTGTAAATCAGGAGAGATCCAGCCAATTCCCATATGACTATTGATTGTTATAGCATCCATTAATAAACCATCAGTGTAAATATTAGGTGAATTATTACGATTAAAAAATACATTAGAGAAGGAAGTAAAGAATTGTTAGAGTTGAAGTTAGTAGAAAGGTTATTCAATAAAGTCATTAATTAAAGTATGGTTAATAGAAGTTATAGGAGGTGAGACTAAAGGCATTACAGGAACAATTTGCTGTTGTTGTTGTATCCTAAGTGAATTTCATCCAAGTGATCAGTATTTATGGGAATTAAGAAACTCTTTTAGTGATTGTGTCATAATACTTGTAACTTTATTTAGGTGTGAAGTTTTGCATTTTAATTATAACAGTGTAAGCAGGATCACAAGACTGCACACATGTGACAGATTTCAATAGAGGGCTGCTTTTTTTAAAGTGAGGTCTTTTAAGGATATCTAAGAGTTATGAATTGTTGATATCACAATCATCACAAGGAATAAGAGATCATTTCACATATTGAGAAAGGATTCGATTATTTCTAAGTGCAAGAACTAAGTGTTGATAAGCTAATGAATTATCAGCAGGGTATTTTCTTAGGATTCTTCCAGTGATTGGTCGATTTGAAAAATTGACACAAATTCTCTAGTTTTACTATTAATATCTATATCTAAACTTGGAGAAAAAATAAACTATTAGAAGCTAGTCTAAAAATATTTTTAACTATATTATTATCAGGACTATCTAAGACTAAAGAAGAAACTAATGTATAAATTTTAGGAAGTTTAGGAGAAGGAAGTGAAATCTTTACATAAATTCATTGATGGAGATAAGCTACTCCAACCTATCATAGATTTTGCTTTGCTACAAAAAGTGCTTAATACTATTGAACCTAAGTTAACACGCAAAGATGTATTAGATTCACTTATTCTTGATTTTAGAAAAATATGTTTGGAGATATTCCCGAAGTGGGATTCTAAAACTATAACTATTGCCAGTAGTAGTAATGTGAAGAAAATGTTTTATCATATCTTAACTTTTGGTATGAGACTTCTAAACATTGCTAAGGTTGCAATTTTGACTGAACTTGTTCGTAAGAAACTTCCAGTAGGATTGCAAGGAAAAAGTATTATAGATAACATTGCAAATAAATAAGCCTTCTCCTTATGGATGCTTGGCTCATCCAAGTATATTGAAAAACTGGAGAACATATGCAAGTAAAAAAACCAATATATTTCCAAAATGGGTTTTTCTTTGATTTCATGCTTCTCTCTTCAAATAATGATTCTAAAGTCAAAGATAGTCCTCTTTTGATCATTCCAGAACCAAAAATGGGAAGATGTCCTAGCATAAATAATGTCACTACTGATGCTGAATTTGAACTGATAGAAGAATTGCTTCAAGAAGCTAGCATCAAAGAATATAGTTTATCATATCCATCTGAAAATTTTCCTGACAAATTTCCACTATTACGCATTTCCCTATCACATTGCCTATTATGTGATCGAGAACATGATCAAAATAAAAAATCTACAGCTTTTTCTGCAAATAATGATAGGAAACCTGGCTCCAG